TGAAAATTTCTTCTATATATTTTTTAAGCTTTTTTAATATTCTTATATTTACTTTGAAATTATTATAATAAAAAGTAATATATTTAAATATTATGCAAAAATGTAATATAATTTTTAATTAATTACAGTTATATTATATATGCGACTATACATATATAATATATAACATAGTTTTCTATTTACTACTAATGAAATAGTACTACAGTAGTGAAGTAGTAATACATTATATCATATTATTGTATAATCTTTTCTAATAAAATTATAATAATTATGGCACTCATAATAAATTTGCTGAAATTTAAGCGATTTTATTTGAATATATTATTCGGCATAGTAATTTGAATAGATTGGGTGATCACTGTGATTATAATTAGTTAAAAATATTAATGTTTGAAAGTTATTGAATAAAGCCAAAAGGGTATATAATAGCAATGGGGTTATTATAAATCAGTAATGAATTTTTAATAACTATTATTGCAAAAAGTAATTTGTTTCTATCAACACGTATTTGCTAACTTCTTAATTTTAATTTTAAAAGACATAAATAAATAAAAATTATTAAATCAAATTGATGTATAGATAGGAAAAATCTATTACTATACTATATATACGAATTTTTTTAGACGAAAACAAATGTAGAAAGTATATATATTTATAGTACTAGAAGTAAATATAATCATTATGAGTAATATTAGTTAAATATTTTTTATATTTTTATTTACTGATGATTTATTTTTGTTATATTTCCTAAAATTTTTACAATATAAAATAATATTCCTATTATAGCATTTATTCTAAAAAATGGAATGTATGATCATTAACAATCGCTATATTGTTAGTAGCTCGAATATTCAATTGTAAACAACATTAAAGGACTGTAAATTTTTATTTCCATTGTGCATATAGTGAGGAGAGATTGGGTTTACTTTCGTTTGTTTTATGATAGTTTTTTATGGCTCTTTTTGTTATACAAAAGGATAAATTAAATCGAATACGCAGGAGTTACTAAAATCTCTGAAGGATTTTAATACCGTAATATTTTCAATTGTTCTTTGTTAAATGCTATACTTACATGTACTAGTTTCTAAGTTATGTATATTTTTTATGCATTAACTTAATACAATCATAATTTACGTTCATTACAGAGTGAAAAACATTACAGATTGTTAAAATGAATTGTATATATTTTTCGTTCTTTCCAAGTCTATATATTCCTGAAAATCATATTTTAGAAGTTTTTACCGATGTATATTTTTTAGTTAATACTTTTTAAAATAAATCCTTAATTTTAATTTATATTTATTTTTCAACTTGTGGATTTTATATTGAAATAAATTATTGAATTATTGAATTATCTAGCTTAAGAAAGTAGTAAAGATTTTATTTATAACTTAAATTTAAAATAATAAAAAATATATTTATTAAAAGTTTGTAGAAGAAATATAAAAATTAACAAGTTACCATTCTTTCCGAATATAATATTCTTTTAAAAAAATAATTTTATACTCTTAAATATTCATCTTATTTTCTATGATTTCAGATTGGTTCTCCTATAAATCTATATAATATTGAGTGTATTTAATGTTTCTGTTATATGTTAATTATTGTTTAATAATATTCAGATCTTTTAGTTTATAGATATAATTAAAGAATATATATAATCTATGTAATTTAAACTTTATTTTGCTATAATAGTAGTTTTCATGTTAAGAAAATAATATTTATGTAAATAAAATTAGTTATGATCTATTTTAGAACAAGCATTATATTTTAAACTGCACGTACTTGAGAAAATAGCATAACCTCATAATATTTATGATACTATCGATATTTTTGTAATATTTTTCTTAGCTATATATGTTTTTGACTTTTTATAATACAACTACGTATTTTTTTTTATCATAAAAGTAATTATAAAGTTTTTTTACTTTTCTCGGTAATGATTTCTCTTTCACGAAGGAAAAGTACTTTAATTTAAATTTGAATTCTTTTTTATTTATTTATTGAGTTATCTTCAATAAATATACTGATAAATTTAACTTTATAAATTTATTAGTTAAAAGGTGATCATTATTGTTATTAATCAAAAAGTTATTGTCTTGTATGTATTTCATGCAATCGTGGTAATATAATGATAAACTCTTATAGTATTCTAAAATAAGATTTGTTGTTTACATTTTTAAAATTTTGTATTTGATTTTACAGAGTTGTAGCGAAAATCATTTAAATGATCTAATTATTACATCAAAGATTTGATTGAGCCAGTGTTACAAATTTGTAATAAGCAAGACACACGCCTAACTTGTAAACTATTCGGACCATGCTTTATTTATATTATATTAATTTTACTTTACTATCATGTAAATATATCAATGAAATAATAATGTAAATACATGATTTTTTTGAAGAAACAAAATTGTAAATATAAAATAAAATTATAAATATTAAATTCATATTATTAAACAAATTTTAATGTTTTTAAATATTTTGGATTATTAATTATATTATACTATAGATAATTTTAATTAATATTATTGTTATAGGTTAGGGATGTTAGGGGCTATGAAGATATAATTATACTATATTAGTTTTTAAACTTGACAATTAGCATTAATATATTTATAAAGTGATAGAATAATTACAAGTTCTATACTTATCTTCAAAATATTATCTAATAATAACCCGAACTATATAATTATTAGTAGCAGTATTACGATAAAAAATATCTTTATCAAATACCAAGTAATATAATGGTGCAAAGAGAAAAGATAATTTTCTGAAATATTATTTTTATTATATAGTCTTTATCACTTAAAATCAAGAAAAAATGCAATCCAATATTTTATAAAAAAATTACAAAAATCATCATGTGTAACAGTATATTTAAAAATGATATTTATATATAATGTACTATATTATATTTATAGGTGTATTATCAATATTGACAGTGGATCCTCTAAATCGCAATTTGATTTTTGTTTGTCTTAATTGCATATCCTTATTATACAAATATATTTTAAGAATGTTTGGTTACCTTCTAATAAATTTGAAAATTTTCACATGAATTTTATTTAATTATGTAGTAAATGACTATTTTATATACAAAATAATAATATTATTTTACATATTTGCCAGGTTTATTCAAAGAATTTAAGTATTTTAAAAGAAATTTAATTAATTATTCTGTTATTTACTGGTGTTTCGTCCTTTTCTCATAGTTTCTCATTTGCGTTTTATATTGCGATTCTTTCATTCTCATAATCGTTAAGTCACAAAGTTGTATAGTCGTAATATAATTTTTGTTATTGTTAACATTTTTATACATTTTTTATAATATATGCCTTCAGTTAAAATCACGAATACTATTTTTTCCTCATACAGATGTTGAAGAATAGTTATGAAGATATTGGAAATTCTACAACGTAACAAAAGTGCTTGAAGTAATTACAATAGAACAAAATGCAAGTATTATTTTATTTAAATATTCCAAAAATTTCTTCGAAATATCAGTGTCTTCCTTTTTTAATGTAATTATTATGTATACGTTTTCTTTTATATTCAAATTTTGTTTTATATTAATATTTGAAACCAGTTTTTGAACTCTTTTTATTTGAAAATCAACATTGATTGGTTCAGTTAATGGCTATTAACTTTTTTTATAATGACTCATATTTTTTTCTAGTGGCTCATTTTAGTATCGTTCAGTAAAATGATTTTATCTAGCATATATCTAACAATTATGTTTTCATATTGTTCTACATTCTTTTGTTATATATCAACGTAGAAATTTGTTTAATTTCATCCTTTTATCATCAAAGTCGAGCTAACACGATAAAAAAATTTTCTAATACAACTTTACTAATAACTAAGATAAACACTTAAAAATATGTAGAGATAGTAGACAACTACGCCTAATAACCGGCGTTCATTCTTGTTCTTATAGTAATGTGCTTCAACAGACTATTTTTTAAAATTTTATTTTGATCTTATTATGTGGAGTTTTATCTTTCCTATGCTCATGCTTTCTATTAATCCTATCCCATTTATCCTATTACATTTTACTTATTACTATATGTAAAATAAAAATATATATTTGTAGCAATGTTTTATAGAAATTACAAATTCAGTAATGAATTTAATAGGTTTCACAACATTCTTTGGCTATTTCTAACGTTCGCTGCTAAGAATAAATTTTTTCAAGAATTAGTAAACTTGATAATAAATATAAAAATTATTATAGATTTAAACAATTTTTTAAAATACGTTACTACAATAAAAAGATTTATGAAAATTTCATATATTTTAAATATTAATATCCCTGTAGAGGTATAAAATTTACTAAAATTACGTTAAAATATTATATATTATATAAATTTTATATCATCTTATATAAAAAATAAGTTAAAACACAGTATATCAATACTATTCATATTTTAATTAATATTTTTAATTGATAATATATATTATGTATTGAAAATTTTCCATCATTGAACGTAATGTCATCAATCAAATTAATCCACGAAAAAATACAAACTACTTAATAAAAAAATATACATGCATTTATTTAAATTATTTCTTAGAAAAGATTGTTAATGTTTTATATTTATTGCTTACTTGTGGCAATTGCATAATATATTAATTCGATTATGGAAATTGTTTAGCATAAAGCTACAAATATAATAGTTATATTGTATTCTAATTATTTAAACATAAAATTAATAATATTGTTATTGCTTAAAATAATCAATATTTAAATTAATACAGTTTTGTATATAATTATTTAAAAAATGACTGTATTAAGGCAAAGAAAGATTACAACAATTAAATATAGTTTTTATTAAACTAGATATCAATAATTAAATTCATTTTAATTATTATAATATAATAGACTTTATATTTACAATAATTGTATAAAAATATCTATACATATTGAATAGTTAATAAATAAATAAAAGATAAATAAAGCAAAATAAAAGATTAATTTTCATAATTTATTTTAGCCAAAAACAACGGCAACACCAATATCCAGGACAGAAACTTAAGCAACATCAACAGCAAGTATCTTGGCACAGAACATTAGCTTCCTGACTATCGTGATTCCAAGTCATTCCTTTTTTCCTTTTTACATCAAGCAATTCGTAAAAAGAGGTGATTGCAGTGTCCTTACAACTAAAGCAGTAAATTAAAAAATTTCATTAAACAGGAATTGAAGCTTATGAAGGGGTCATTGGTCAGAACAGAATCATTGACTAACAAACTCTGTAGCTTACTTTGGCAGATAACTGAAGTCAAGCTACTGGAAAAGAAGTGTCAATAATCATTGGGAATAGAGTCAAATAAATTGCGGAAATAGTGAATTATAAAAGAACAGACACATGTTTTTTTAACAATTTTCATTGAAAAAAAGAGAGAAAATTAAAGCAGATGCTTGCAATTGATACAAATCCATTACGTGAAAAGAAATCGTTTGATTAATGGTCAGGCTTTGAAAATTGTTTTGAGATTACTTTTTAATAATTAAAAAGTTCTACAATAAATAAGAAAATGATTGTATTATACGCCTGATGAATTTGTTTTCTTGATAATGCGTTGTATTAATAAAAGTTACATAATTATCATTTTCAGATGGAAATTATCGCTTCTTTTTAATGAGCCACACTTATGTATGTTAACATAAGGTGATTTTTTTCTATTACTTATTTTTAACGTGTAGCTTATTTGATTTTTTTGTATTTCTAATGAATGAACCGTTAATACAACATAAAAACTAGCTGCACTAAGTTAAACACCAACATACATAATTTTATACATACATCTATCATAGGTGCATGCACCCACGACATGTACACATACAAAAAATCGTGCAAACTATTTTTATCATTTTTTATATTTTTATTGGGAAAAGGAGTATATGTATTCTATCTCAAGGTGGATTAACAATTGTGTAAGCTCATAATATGACACATATACATATTACACTTTTCATTTTTTGTTCAATTTTATTATGCGACGACATTTTATTAATAAAAATATGCAGCACTTCAAACAATATTATATATTTTTTATTAGGATATATGAAAGTGATTATGAATCAATTCTTCTTATTATATAAATATATGTGAATTACATGTGCATATTTATAATTTATTATGATCACATGTGTTTGTTAATACATATGGTATTAATTCCCGTTCTTCGTTTTCATTTTCTAATTATAAAAAATAAGATTATTAAATAATTTTTTACTTATTGAACCATAATTAAAGACATGAAATTTTTTTATTCAAATCATTTTAAAGATCAAGTTTCTGTTATTTTTATTAATTAATTTACATGCTTAACTAAAATATATATCTTTATATATATATTATTCTCTTGATTAAAAATTAATAAATAACGATATATTTCAATACATTTACATATACCACATATACTCAATTATTAATAATCAATGTGCACTCAAATATAACATCTCAATCCATTAATAAATTAATTTATGTTTTTGGACAAAGTTAAACAAGTTTCACAATTGTGATTGAAATTTGAAATGAACACAGATACATGTTTTTTTAACGATTTTTATTGACAAAAAACATCAAAACTTCAATTTTTCTAATATATAAGCTTTATTACGCTATTCCTTTTAGCATATTATCAATAAAGTATATGCAGATAAGGTGGTAGTATCTTATGTGGTTATTTATTAGACGAAATAAGACTAAAAGACATTGATTAATATTTTACGCAATTAATATCATCTGTATTAAAATATTATGAAACATATAGCTTTAAAAGCAGTCAAATAAGTCAAAATATAAAAAAATGAAAAAATATTGAAATTCTGAATTTAGAAGAATGAAACGTTTTATGATAGGTGCTATTTACTGCAATATATAAATATGAATTAAACATAAGATTAGTGAATCGAGAAAAAGGAAATGTACGGGAGGTAATAGTCAAATAATTAAGCAATGAGATAATACCGAAAGGAGATAAATTGAGTAGCATTTTGTGCAAGTGAAAGGTGCAATAAACTACAGAAAATAGTAAAGTTTACAAATGTACTAAATGGAAAAGCGATCTATGAAGTACAAAAGCACAAATAGAACTAGATGAACATAAATTAATGGATATAAACAAAAAATTAAGAAAAATATTGTGTATAACAAAACTTGTATAAAACTGACAAAAATGGAAAGAAATGGTTTTTAAGTATTTATAAATTCTGTTCAAATTATGAAATCAATCTTTCAATAATATTGTAAAATATATCTTTTATTTTTAATAAAATTTGGATGTATTTTTTTAATTTGTAATTTAGATGAAAACTTTAAGCAAAAGGCATTATTAAAATTATAATTCTTCTTTTAAATCTGTTATATACTATGTATATAATTATCGTCGTTTTTAATTCTATATTTTATATTTAGTCTCATACTCTGACAACGAATATGTTATATATTTTAATTTGAAATGCTTATAAATCTATTAGATTTGAACAAAATTTTACCTAATGAACTATTTTCAATAATTAATAAATACTTATAAAAAATATTAATAGTCAATAAGAACTATATATATATATAATATTTATAAAATAGTAAACTATAAACATAGTGTGTAATAATTAAAAATATTTGGCATTCGTATAAACAATTTTTAAGGTATCTATTTGGCTTTTATAAATTAAAATAACTTTTTAAATAGACAAATAGTACACGTTCAATATGCATAAAGTTTAGAAAGCATTAAAGATGCTTAAATAAGTAAAAATGTACTGTTTAGTTAGAAAATTTTTTTTTCAAACTTAGAATGTGTACTTAGTGTTTTAAGAGAATTAATAGAACAAAAAAAGAAAAGAATTTATGTAAACGAGTGTGTTCGGGTAAATTAATTTTACATACTGAGAAAGTATCGTACCACACACTTGCGAATAAGGCCTATGTATGTATAATAAATTGTGCATATATGAACTTGCTAAGTGCATAGAGGAAACAAAAGAAAAAACTAACGAGCATACGTATAGTCATGTTATGCTATAAGCAGAATTTACGACATTGAAAAACTATAAATTTTGTGTATAATAAAATAACAAAAATTAAGACCGTCTGTTTCTGTTAAACAATTAACAGATTTATATTTTCAAGTGTTATTGCTAAAAATTATTATAATTATATTAGCATTAATTTTATTGTTTATGATTTATAAAGTTAATGACTGATATTTTATATTGGAGCTTCTGTAATTGATCGTACTAATTTTATTGATATATTGTTTATATTTATATCGCATTGTACGTACTCAATCAACCTAAATACTTAAATAAATATTTTATGATATATTTGAAAACATCGAAATACATATACAAAATATATAAATGATTAAAATATAATATTTAAAACAATTTCAAATCATTTATTAATAAATTTTTTAAAAATATACCTATACATATATATATATATATATAAGATTTCATATATAATTTCAAAATACTATTATTCTGAAATTTAAATAATGTTAGAAGAAAAATTAAATTATAATTAATTTAATTATATTCTTAAAATTATACGAAACACATTGTCAAATATTTATAGTCAAAACTATATGTTTCGTAAAGAAGAAAAAATTTGGTAACCATAAAAACCTATAATTACAAAAGTAGCATACAATTTATAACTCTCGTAATTATAAAGTATCAAATAAATAATAGATCTTTACTGATTTATATTTTTATAGGAATTCAAATTCTTTCAATAATATTAAATTAATTGACCTGTACTTAGTTTTTGTTTGTATAATATACAAGTTATATTTTTTTAAGATACGTTTATTTTATAAAATAGTAAGTAAAGTTGTAAATGAAAGATACATTGGAATGAACCAAAAAAAAAAACGAAGAATTTTAAATCAAACATGATTGTTATGCTTGATACTTTACTGGGTTAATAAAGATTTAATAATTAATATATTTTGTTGACATATATAATATTATTGATTATCAATAATAATAATTCTGTAAATATAAGAAACTTACATTATGAACCAAAGTTGATTTATGTCTTACTGTTCGGGATTGGAGAAACTTTGTATATTTATAAATATTGACTCCACGAATTCTCAATTAGTCTGCGCCTTATTATCTAGCGTTCTACAATATTTCCGCATAGCAACGACGATTGACAATTCGCGAACCTTCCAATGCAGTGTCCTTCTAGACTTCTCGAATATTGTGTGTAGTCTGTAGTGTTTAGAATTCCAGCTACCAGTTTGTTCAGAAGATCAAGGTGGATGGATTAGACCGTACCGCCGGTTTAGTGGTTGAGAGGAGGGGGTGAGAGGTTAATGCATCAATTCAGTATAAACGCAATGGCTTTAGTGACTTTTATTTAAGGTTATGTTACATTGGTAGTTGTGAGAATTGTTGAGCACGTCGTGATTTTAAGAGTTGGCAATAACTGTAGAGCGTCGCCCGGGTGTACAAGGCAAGGTTGGTTTGGTTGTACTGGGCACGCTTTATTGTACCTTACAGAGGAGAGAATTCTAGAAAATTCGAGGATTTCAGAAACACAAGGCTTTAGAAGGTTCGAGAATTTCCAATCGACGTTGCTATGCGGAAATATTGTACGACACTCGAAAATAAATACACACAAGAGTTAGAAGGGTTATACTTCTCCCGTTTGATAGTTCTTCTAATCCCAAACATACCTTGTCAGAAATTTTTCAAGCTTATAAATTGCAATATGAATTAATAAATTTTCATATATAAAATATAATAAAAATATGTTTAAAAACGGACATTTCTTTATTATAGAATGTTTTGCCATAATCTTCCTCTTATATTCCAAATATATAAGTACGTTATTTAATTTATTCAGTATGAATGTTTCTATATACAAGTTTCTATATACAATAATACAAGTAAAGAAAATAAAAAAAAATATTTATAAAATATAAATTTATTTAGAATCTCTTTATGCAATATATAATTTTATAGTTCAGCTACATATACGTTTATTATTTCTTTATTTCTTTAATGGTATTTATATGATAATTGTTGTATGAAATATGAAACTTCATTCATACTTTATGATTTAAATTTAGAATAAATTTTTCTTTCTTTATTTACGTAAACATACATATATCATATATACATTTGTTTTGGATATAATTACAACTAATAATATATAAATAATAATAAATTATTTTTTTGAATATGTTTGGTTATTTCATTTCTATTATAATTATTTAGATGAATAGAATATTTTGAAATTTGAGAAAATTGTTTTTGTGAATTTTGTATTTGTTATATAATGATAATAGTTCAAGAAAATATAAATAACTGAAAAAGTAATAAAATTCCAAATTATATTTTTATTCAAGAGAATCAATATATAAAGGGTAGTTCTGAGTCGCTATTAAATACCATATAATTACTTTTTATGAGATTAAAAATTTTGTTTCATTTAGAATATCTCAATTAATTTTATATTATTATGTTTCAAATATATTTTTTTAAAACCACTTCCTGTATTATGGAGAAATTGAATATCTGCAGTTTATGTGATTTAATTAAAACATTTTTTGTATTAATGCGCATTGTATTATTAAAATAAATAGAATGTTACATATATTAGCGTATTTGATTCATATTTATCTAGCGGAATTTGTGGAATTTAATACTGAAATTACCAGTATTCTACGAGATTTAATGAGTATAGAAATCTTAATTACTGTTCTTATGCATCAGTAATTTTACGAAGTTATTAATTCTTAAATATAGCTTATACAAATAATTTTTTTAATTATAATCTAAATAATCAATAATATGTAGTTGAAAAATGTTATTATTATCTGGTTCGTTAATAGATTAATACATTTTTTACAATGTTAATATATTGTATGTAGAAGAGATTTTTAATAATAAATTAACGTAAATTATATAAGAAAGAAAATAATTCAGAATTATAATCTAAGTATTAGACCACTAAACAATTGTTAATGAGTGTTCGAGAATGAAAAGAAAATCTCTCGAACTATATTTACTAGAAAAACTTTCAATAGCGAAACGGATACGAAAAACTAAGAAAGTCTCGCCAAGGCCACATGAGACTCGAAAAGGATTGTACATCTGTGAACTCCTAAACCACCATTTATGGCTTTTGACCTACAGCGTAGCAATTGTTTTTAATGCAATAAAACGACCCTTGCGAGCTCACATCAAAACCCGACTAGACTGTTTATACTAGTATATTTTGAGGATTAAAATATTTCAAAACAATTGAATGGAAAACATTTCTTAAATCCGTTGCAACCCGAAACTCGGCACGCGCGACTATCGACATTCTGCGTCGCACGTGTGCCTATAATTTTACAAAGAATGCTATGCATTGTTGTCAAGCCAGCCAAATGTTGCCGCTCACATCGGTTAGGCAAAGATGCTTGACCACGAATGATCCCCACTACGGTAACTCGCGCGACTATCGACATTCTGCGTCGCACGTGTGCCTATAATTTTACCAAGAATACTAGGTGTTCATGCCTAATTTCCTCGGAAGTGGGAAAAGGGCGTGTACAATTAGCATAAGTTCGGAAATCGGCGCGCTCTGATTGGAAAACTATAACGAGAGCCTCCTCGAGTGGGGGTTCGCGGCAAGAGGCCTTAAATGTAGGGCCAAGAAGCGAAACGCGCCTTTCTTCCAAAAAAGACAAATCACACTGAGTGAGAGTGAGCAGTCTAGGAAAAGGTCAAGTAATAGATATTGATTGTCCACGGATAACTAAGTCAAAAAATTCACTCAACACAGAAATCAGTGCTAGTGCTTCAACGCAAGAATAGTGCATCCTGGTGAGTATAAAAGTCACGCCGCACGCAGTCGTCTTGCTGCGTGCAATTGCGCCACCTCACCACTGAATCAGTGATTGAATTACGACATCGCTGTAAGTACGTTGACACATATTATCTCTAATTATTGTCAGCCGGCGGCAAAACCGGCATAAGACAACCAACAAGATTATCTCACACTCTCCCACTAGAAGTGTGTAATAATTATTTACTTGTGCAATATTCATCAATTCAACAATCTCAAGGCATCTTGTGTAGTGACACCTCCTATATAAGAAACCAATCAAGAAATCGTATCTTCTTATAAGATTCAAGAAGATTCTACAACATCCATTTGTAAATTGTGTAATAAATTGTATAATAAATATAATTAACCAACTCTCATGACTCTTGTACAGCCCTTACATCTCACTCCTTCCCGAGCGTCTGCTAGGGCGGGCGGAAAACTAAGCTATTGAAACATTGGCAGTTAAAGCCAAGAATTACATCACTACAACTTTCGAACATTTGGTCCTTCGAGCCGGATATCCGGAAAGCCGCACCGTCGGATAGCAGATCAACGGGAAGAGCCGGTCAACTGATTCACGGAAAATTCATCTTCGATTGCTCGGATATAGTGAAAATTAGTATATCTCAACAGTGCTGTGCAACCGTGAGAGTTTAATATTATATTTTACAAGTTCATCACTATAATTGTCACAAGAGAAGTCATCATACTAATAAACAGAGAGAGCTTTGCATTCTCACATTTCTGCGAAACTGCAAAAGAAATGGAAAATACTGAACAACCAAGAGGCGATAAATCTCCAAAAGGTACCAGAAGAAAAACACTCAGGAGCGCCTCATCCGCGGACTTATCCTTTGAACAAAGGACAAAAATCAACATGCAATATATCCGCGTGATAGGCCTCAAACGTTTGGTAGAAGAATTTGAGGCATACACGGGAGAAAAAACCCTCCATGACATCAATGAAGCATTAGCATACGCAGAAGAACAATATAAGATTTTCCAAAAGGAACATGCATATCTAGTGTCGACATGGACCAACACCGATGACGGGCACGAATATTTTTATGATACCTTCGAAGAGGAAGCAGCCCTACATAGAAAAGCAAGATCAATCATAACCCACTGTCTCCCAGATAACAAACCCTCAGCTGAACCTAAAGAAACTACAATCAAGACACACCCTAAGGGGAGCAAACTACCAACTATCACCATACCGCAATTCTCAGGAAAAGAGGAGGAGTGGCAAGCATTCCATGACCTCTTTAAAGCAGTAGTCCTGGACAACGCAGAAAGCACCGATGTGGAGAAATTGCATCACCTCCGCACTGCAGTACATGGTCCAGCAGTTCAGTTTATGTGTAGTTTTCCACCAACAGCAGTGGAAGCACTAAATTATCATGCTGGAGAAACAATTAAAAGGTTAAAAGCCCTTGGAACATTCGAGGAGCTATGGAACTGTTCTCAACATTCACTCGCAAACAAATCCACATCTTCAGCGCAGACAAGGAGCTGCACGTACTGCCACCAACGACATAACATTACGATATGCTTCAACTTTCGGAACCTCTCTATCTTCGAAAGGAAAAATCAAGTTGCGCAGATTAGGACTGTGCCAATCATGCTTGCACTATCATGAAGGCCCTTGTAACAGGCCTACATCATGCAAAAAATGCACCAAGGAATACCATATACTATTACACGAGGAACAAACTGAAAGTCAGCCACCAGCTAACTCTGCAGAACCAGAGAAAAAATGAGGTAAAAATGTAATCGTCGAAACACTATTCCATTATACAACGTCACTGCTTGCAACCGCTATGGTTGAAATACGATCTAATACAGTCACCAAACAAGCACGTCTACTAATTGATTCAGGCTCTGAACTCTCCTTTGTCACTGATCACCTTGTTAACCAACTCAATATTCCCAAACAACATTCCATCATTCAAATTCATGGAATTGGGGGAGCTAAGTCAACAACTACACAAGGATTAGTATCACTTACATTCAATGCATCACCCCATTACATTACACCCCATTCAATGCACTCGAATTCCAGTATCTCCACTCAAGCCCACGTTCTCAAGAAACTGACGTCCATTACTCCTTCATTTAAAATAACCACACCGGATTGGCCTCATCTTAAAGGGTTGACACTGGCTTATCCGTAGTATCTTACACTACGCTCAGTAGACATCATTCTTGGAGTTGACGCATATGGACAGGTAATGAAACCCCATGTCATCATCCCCTCGCTATCAATGCCATTATCAATTATTGGATGGCTAGTGCTAGGATCCGTCGACTCCACAAATATTGAGAATTCAACAGCCTACCAAGCAACAATTCAGGATGATGAAACAACAGTGATGATCTACTGCTGAAATTTTGAGTCCAGGAAGAACCTCAACCAAGCGAAGGCAGCCAATATACACTAGACGAACAGCAGTGCGAGAATCAGTACAATAATGTGTACTCCCGTGAAAAATCCGGGATATACACAGTGCGAATTCCGCGTAGTGCATCTACCAATCTCCTTGGTGATTCATTCAAAACAACAAGCTGCTGCCTACAAAGCTTATCAAGAAAGTTTCAAAGAAACCAGGAGTATCGAGAATCATATCAACAATTCATGAAGGAATATATAGATCTTGGCCACATGGTAAGAGCGCCTCCAACATCAAATCAAAAGGTCCAATATTATCTGCCCCATCACGGTGTATTTAAACCAGATAGCGAAACCACCAAATTAAGAGTGGTATTCAATGGATCCAGCAAAACGACATCAGGCCTATCACTAAACGATATTATGCATACTGGACCAAATTTGGATTAGAAGACAAAGGCATCTGTTCTCCACCTACATCACAAAAATGTATCGGCAGATAAAAATACACAAGGACGACTGGGATCTGCAGAGAATATTATGGATAGACGAAAACGGAGCTATAGTGCCGTACCATTTGACAACTGTCACTTATGGAACGAAGGCCGCTCCTTATCTGGCCGTTAGAACACTACTTCAATTAGTAAAGGACGAAGGAAGCAAGTATCCTCTTGCAGTGCCACCCATCACACATGGAAGATATTTTGATGATATCTTTGGAAGTGCCGACACGCCAGAGCAATTAGTTGAAGTGGCACTTCAACTGCGAGACCTCTGCAAGGCAGGAGGTTTCCCATTAGCAAAATGGCATGCAACTCACCAAGACGGAATATCAGCAATCAATGTTGATCAGAATGATAACAATATACAGTCCGACGATTACTATACAAAAATACTAGGCCTGACATGGTCACCACAAGAAGACAAATTCACCTTTACCACTGGAAAGGCATTGACACCAGTAGACAAGTTAACCAAACGCCTCGTGTTATCCAAAGTGGCTCGGATATTTGATCCATTAGGCTTTGCTACACCCGTAGTAATAAAGGCAAAGATTTTCATGCAAGAATTCTGGTTATAAAAACTTTAGTGGGACGAAAAATTACCACCTCAACTTTTATTAAAATGGTCAACAATTAGAAAGGATCTCAGTGACTTGACAGAAATATCAATACCACGGTGGCTCAATATGAAAACAACTTCCACCATTGAATTACATGGTTTTTCCGACGCATCTCAACTAGCTATGTCCGCAGTGATCTACGTCTCCGCCCACGAGTCAGACGACGTCAAGACTACATTGGTCTGCTCCAAGACTAAAGTCGCACCACTCAAGCCAATGACAATACCCCGATTGGAATTGACTGCGGTACTGCTTCTATCGAAATTAATGCGTTACGTTCAAGCGAAACTGAAAATGGATCTGAAGGCAACATACATGTGGACTGACTCGAGAGTAACCCTCGCCTGGATAAAAACTCATCCAGCCAGATGGAAGGAATTTATAAGAAACAGAGTTTCCAACATTCAAAACCTCACCTCAGGTACACACTGGAGATATGTTCCAGGTAAATCAAACCCTGCAGACTGTGCATCACGCAGCGTAACTGTAAGTACGTTGACACATCTTATCTCTTCAATTATTGTCAGCCGGCGGCAGAACCGGCATAAGACAACCAACAAGATTATCTCACACTCTCCCACTAGAAGTGTGTAATAATTATTTACTTGTGCAATGTTCATCAATTCAACAATCTCAAGGCATCTTGTGTAGTGACACCTCCTATATAAGAAACCAATCAAGAAATCGTATCTTCTTATAAGATTCAAGAAGATTCTACAACATCCATTTGTAAATTGTGTAATAAATTGTATAATAAATATAATTAACCAAATCTCATGACTCTTATACAGCCCTTACATCTCACTCCTTCCCGAGCGTCTGCTAGGGCGGGCGGCAAACTAAGCTATTGAAACATTGGCAGTTAGAGCCAAGAATTACATTACTACAACTTTCGAACAATGAGAATAAATTATTTCTCTTTCTACTTTTCAGCATTACCCCTACAATTTCATTATTGCGATTGATGTATTTTATGCTTCATAATTTATTTGCCTCTAATGTGTTTATTCCTAATCGAGTAATATTTTCCAATTTCTTAGTCAAGTCTCAAAATTAATATGGTAAGTTATTTCCGCAAATTCATAGAAGCTAAAGTCTATGTAAACATTTGAGTGTATTGCTTATTATATGAATAACGGAATCTAAGATATATATATATCAATTTTATACAAAAATGTTATTTTAAAGAAGTGAATGTCACCATTATATTATATCTCAATTCATAGAGGTTAATGTTTTTTTTTTCATAAAATTCTCTTTATGAAAATAATTTGAGGATCTGAATTAGGACTTTGCAATAATTAAATTAAAATAAATAGGATCCTTATTTTAAATATTCTTCTTTTTAAACATATCACTGCGCATTTCATAGCTGAAATAATTCGACAAAGTTTATAATAATGATCTTTAATTAACAAAATAAAAATTAAAAAAAAACTTAAATATATGTTTTATTAATAAAAAAAATCTCTTATATATTGTTGATAAATTTGTGTTCTTTTTTTCTTTTTATCGTAATTATATATTGAAAATTTCGCATAAGTATAAGGCCAATAAGATAATAACTCTAGACGATAAAAACTATTTTAAATTTTATATTTTTTAATAACGAAAATTCAATTTTAACTACCTTGAGAAATTGCTAATTTTCTTTTCTATTGTCTAATTTATGTATTTTTCATTTGCTTCTATATATTTATAGTAATTACTTTCCTCACCATTCTTATATTTAGTATGATGGAAAATGAACATTTTCATTTTATATGGATGATAACACATCGTAAACATACTTTCGTTGAAAAACTAGATAACCTTTACATAGATATTTTATTAAAATACGTTAGAATATAAAAAGTTTTTATTATAGTTTTATTTAGAAATTATATAGAATTTATTTAAAAATAAAAAATCTTTAAATATTTCAGCGATAATGGAATTAATCGTCAGCAAAATTGAGATAGTACAAAAGACTATGGTTATAATTAAATGGGTAGTTATAATTTGCATAAATGTTTAAGTACAAGTTATTATTCAAAACAACTTGACAACGATATGATTTCTTTGTATCCCAGATTATCCAAATTTCATAATAATATTGAAAATTAGAAGCAATTAAATAATAGACAAAACAAGTGTTTTACTAGTATATATATATTTATATATAATATTTATTAATCTATTTTATAAATTAATTTTAATATTATATGATATAATTTTTGTTTTGTTTCAAGGTTTAAATAAATAATTGATTATCTTAAAAATCTATATTTATGGTATAGAACAATGTTTATTTGAATTAAAATCTATAAATATATTTATTATACAAAATATTATTAAAACTAATTTTTTATTGTAGAGAAGTCATTTGTACTAATTTATATATATATATATATATATATATATATATATATGTATTTATTAAATATTCTTATAGTCATTGCAATTTAATTAAATTTGGATGAACATTTACTATATATTACTATTTATTACTATTAATTCTAAAATTAAACTAAAATAAAATAAGAGATGCTTAATTTTAAATAATTTTAAATTCTTATATTTATCCATGTTATATTTTATATGTAATATATTAAACTATATAATATATGATATATAATAATATATTACATATTATGTTATATAGCATACATTTTGCAGACAATACAAAAGTAAAATATAATTATATTTTTATTAATATTTTTTAATCATAATATATATATATATATATATTATGATTAAAAAATATTAATAAAAATATAATTAATTTAACATATATTTTATATATAGCTTATACATAGATTATACAAGTGGTTGAAATGAAATTAACAATTAGCAAATAGCATAATACTAACATATCTATGGTTTCATATAATAACATATACATCTGATATACATGATCATAATATCTTAATTTTATATCTGAAATAAGTTATAAATGTAATTACCAAGATGAAATTTATAAATTCTGAAATTTTTGAATTATTTAAAAATTTGAAATTAAAAATATATAAATAAGTTTATTTACAAAGTTATGATAATAATTTACTATATGTTAATAAATTGACAACATTTCTAGTTCTTTATGTACCTATATTTATATATACCTATATACCTATACCTATAATATAAACGTTTATACCACATCATCGTGCAAAAAAAAAATTATTAAAGTTTTATAATATTAAATATTTTATCGGGTAATATTTGTTCTATTATATCTTGAATTATATGTTCAAGATATCTTTGTGTTTATGTAATTTGTATCTCATTAATTTTAGGAATATAAAAAATATATAATTTTCATATTTAAAATAAAATATTTCATAAATTTTTTACGATACTTTATAAATATTTCTATAATGAATTTTAGCAATCATTTGATGAAAAGTTGAATTTTTAATTATATAATAAAATATATATTTATATATAATTAAATAATTTTAATATTATCAAATAATTAAGATAATTTTGAATTTGATGAAGTTATTAAAATAACGTCTTTTTAATATTTTTAAAGTTTCTTAATTGAAGAATTTTTTTTTAATTATTTTCTTTATTCAAATTAATTTATTGCTATAGACTAAAGAGTTAATTATGAAATATCAATTCTATACTATGCTTGATATTAGTAAGATAATTTTGTTTTAATTTTATTTCATGGAACATAACTAATTTTTATTTATTGAAATAACATAAAATTGTTAATATTTTTCCTAGAGAATTTATAATCATAATTCTTTGGTCCCATTAAATTTTACCAGCCATATATTCATTTATAAAATGAATTTAGTATAAATACAGTAACTACTCTTTTTACCATAAAAAATGGATATGTAATCAATTAATGTAGCAGAAAAGTTAAAATGTACATTTTGTTATTTAAATATAGATATCCATAGTCAAGACTCCTTAAATCTGGTAGAATGTTGATTTGTCAGATGTATAAGTTAATATATTTTAAATAAATTTTATCGTTTTAATACTAATTAAATTAATATTAAAATTTTTAAAAATAAAATAATTTCTCTTCTTGTATTCATGATCAAATGTAAATATTTTTCATTAACATAAATATATAATTATTACAGATGATGTACCATAATCAATAAATATATTAATAATCAATTATTTTGAGTTTTTGCTTTTAAGAGAAATGACTAAGAAAATATATTAAAAATGAGTTTCAATTATTTTCTTGTACTAATTATTAATTGTTAATTGATATATAATATTGATCGATATTATTTTTATTAGTAATGAACCAACAACTTTAGATATATTTATTTGTTCATTTTATTTCGAAAAGATATATAATTAATCAAAACATATTGTTATATTATTATTAATTATATATACATATTATTAATTAAGACATATAATTAATCATAAATTACATAAATATATTTTATCAAGAAAAGCAAACTAGACAGATGATGGTTTCATGTATATTGGCATCTATTATTTCTTTTATTTAGATTTGGAAATTTTTATGAAATATAAATTACTTATTAATATTCGATTACATAACTTTTTATATATCTAATTCATAGTGTTCCATTTGTGTTAAATGTTTATAGTTATCTCAAAAAAAGTATATTTAGATTTCATTGAATGCATTTATTTTAAAAAGTATGCTTCCAACTTTAGTAAATTAATTATTTTCTTATATAATTTTATTAGTAATATTTTATTATAAAATATGAATTATTATTGATCTGTTTCACTTCTTCGTAACTATTTTTTGCATATTCAGAGTTGAAATATACTTTCATATACTACTTAATGTTATGAATTTATTTGCACATAAATATATATATATAACAATCTAAATAATATATAAACATATATATTATAGTGATAAATATATGATTTAAAATAAATTGATTTAATTGTTACATTGATAATTTGTTTTATAATAAATTAATTATTACAATTTACAAATATATTTTATGATTTGATAATTTATTGATTTTACATAGCACCATTTGAAATTTCAAATTTATTATTTAATATTGAAGAACTTATATTTAATTATTTAATTTAATTAAGTTTTGAAATGATGAATTATATATATAATTGTCATCAATAATAGCACTCGTTGTATAATAATATCCTGATAAATTAAAAAACTTAAATATCCAAATTACAAAGGGGTTAAATTTTTTAAATTATATTTCTAACATGATCGATTTCATTAAGTTTACAAACATCAATTTAATTAATTTTGATTAACTCCAAAATATAATGTATGAAATTAATAATTTTATTAAACTGTTATATTAATAAGCAAGTCGTTGAAAATCTATCTAAATTTATTTGTAATTGGTTAGAATTATAATATATTGGTTTATGTTTTAGTATTAAGAGTAGTGGTATCAAATCTATTTCAAATTTTAATGCATTTTAATTCATTATATAGCAGTTTTGCTTTATTTTTTTTATTTTTGTCGGTTTATACTATTATTGTATATCTACAATATTGTATTTACATAGAAAATTAATATGAATTTATATAATAAATAATATAATTGAAATTTCATATCATTTAGAAGATTTTGTATTTACAATGTATAACTTAGTACTAGAGAAGCAGTATCTATTTATTTTTTATTACATTAATAAAATTTTTTCGTATAACTATTTAAATATTGATCATTATAATTTCTGTATTACTGATAATGAATACTTATATTATACTATGCGCATATTTTTTTGTCCAAACCAAACTTTGATACATTGGTTTGATCTTAGTGCCTTACTATTTTATTAATATGATAAACATTGTATCTAATAAATTGAATGTATATATTAATATATATAATATAA